GTTGGAAAATGTGAGAAAATATTTTCAAGAAAACAAGGAAAAAAGTGATGTGGCGGGTGGGGAGGGAAAATTTAGGCTATCAAACAGCGTGAAAGATGGAAAATGGAAAAATTTTCCTAGTTCTATGGAAAATTTTGTATATCAAACTGGGCCTTAAAGTTTTTAATATTTGCTCATTATAGTATAATTTATATTTCTAACAATATTTCAAGTCATTCATATTTTCAAACTTTCCATTGGTTAACACATTTACCCAATTTGCAAATAATATTTCTTGATATACCAATTGGTTTATCTATAATCTATGATATATTAAATATCGCATGAAGTGAGAATAATTTTCTGGACGATTTTAACCGTACTACAATTTAATTATTTCAATAGTATCTTAAGTTTCATTTTTCAATATATATTTAATTGAATATTAATTATTAAACATGTATTCAAATAAGTAATTGAATTGTACGAGAACAATCAAATTGAATCATGAACATGAAATTTAATTAATTTGAATCAATGAATATAGAAAAAGAATAATGTATATACATTTAAACAATTAGGGTGTAAGTGAACCAACATGAATTTAATAAATTTGAATTAATAGATATAGAAAAATAATAATTTATATACATTTAAAGAAAATGGTGTATATGAACCAACATAGAATTTAATTAATTTGAATCAATGAATATAGAAAAAGATTAATTTATATACATTTAGACAAATGACGTTATATCATAAATTAAATGAAATAAGTGTACATGAATTTGAATAATTTATCTACTCCTTTAATAACGAATAGCTCTCAAATTATATGATCTTTACTAATTTATACACTCTATAATAATTTATGATAAAATGAATAATCTTAAAAATAAATACTTGTTCATGAACTTAAATAATTTATTTACTCATACAATAATTGAATAGCTCTCAAAATATGTGTACATGAACTTGATCATTTAATGTTATATTTTATTTACTAATAAATAAATGTTAATTAGTAGACATGCACATACATAAATAATTTAATGTAGTATATAAAGTGTACGTGCATGAACTTGAATAATTAATTGATTGAATTATAATAGGATATATATAAATTAATGTTAATTATTATCATACACGTAAATAAATAATTGAATTATATAAAAATTGCATTTCACATAAACAGTTTTTTTAACTATTTTTTATATTAACTGATTTTCAAATATCATTTTTATTGCGTTTATAAAACATTTCAAAATAATGTGCAAAGCATATTTAGCTGTGATTAGTATATTAAATATCATATCAAGTGAGAATTATTTTTTTGGAAAATTTTAACCCTACTACAATAATACCTTACTTTTTCGTTTTTTAATATGTAATAAATACTAAAAAATTCTTGTCGTGTGTAAATTTCATGTTATTAATTCCCAATTAATTAACATTCATATTAATCTAAACTCAATGAATCTTGATTGATGAATTTTCATCTACATGAATCTATAGTTATTATAAATGAATTTATTTCTATTTATATATCTAAAAATTTTAATGGGTGTTTAATTTCATGTATTAGTAATTAATTCTTACAAAATTCTTGTCATGTATAAATTTTATATTAAATATCACATCAAGTGAGAATATTTTTTGGACGATTTTAACCATACTACAATAATACCTTACTTTTTGTTTTTTAATATATAATAAATACTATAAAATTATTATCACATATGAATTTCATGCTATTAAGTCTCAATTAATTAACATCCACGTTAATCTAAACTCAATGAATCTTGATTTATGAAACAAGAGCACACATTAATTTTGCATTAATTTCATCTTCATTTCAATAGCTATCTCATTAAAAAAAATAAAATCAGAGGACGGTCAACACAACATGGGGATAAAAAGCCTAATTGGATTGGTACGTCATATTGAAGAATTGAACACCATTTAAGCAATTCCTTCTACGGGTTTTTTCTATTTTCAGATTTTGGATGTTTCACAAATCAAGATAATATCACAGTATGATCAATTTAAATCGTTGGTTAAGATTAACTACTCTGTTCTATTACGACATTTTACTAGGTAACCTAGTTACAAGCTATGTTATTGGAGTGTATCGACTCTCAGGTTATTTTTTCCTTAGCATGAGAATAAGAGCGTAATCCACGAGAATAACAACTTTCAAGTTCTTAACAATTCAAACTTAATTGGCCAAGACCTATCCACCGAATCAAATATTATCCTCCTTAATCACTAATTATAAGATTTTTCATTTATAATATGGTTGTCACTTGTCCGAAACAACTTTTTCTTGATACCTCATAATTTCACTTAATATGCTGAGCCCAATATTGATATGAAAAACTCACTCTATAAGTATTTAATTATTTTGGTCAAGTAAAAGGGAAAATAATAATCTCCATTTACTTCCCCTTATCCCTACAAATTTCAAACTCACTTAAAGAGAACATATTTATAAAAATTCAGGATAGTACACCTTTTGTCCTTGCCCTTTGCAGTAGGACCCTTGGACAAAGCAAACTTCGTATGAGCGAATGTTGCTTCAAATATTTTTTTTCCTTCATGAAAAACTGTTTTCTTGAAAGAATCTATGATTCTCATATACATGATGCATTCTAGTTTCTAATATGACGTAGTGAATAATAGTAACATTAGTATATCAATTTTGAAAACTTGTGCATTATCGTCTCATTGAGTAGATCCTCCCAAATCATCTCGACATCGCTTGAGTATACGCTCTTGAGAGTGGGAGCTTTCCAAAGCATCTCAAACAAATTTGATGGAAAATCTGACACGCTTCCCACATTTTTTGAACCGAATGTGATCTCCATTGTGTTGTTTTATAAGAGTTTGTATTACTACTATTAATAAGGTTGGTATTTTAAGATAGAACCTCAAGTCTTATAATATCAAAGTCCATTAAATTCTAACGAGCGATTCGATCCGATTAAGACTAATAAATGAGTACACGAATTTCAAGATTGATCTGCTCAAACGAGTCACAATCTTGTGGAAATCTTATAATTATGAAGCGTAAAATTCCATAATCATTTTTAGGGGCAGTGTTCCTAAAAAAATGATTTTATTGCCACAAAGAGGCTATGATATATAAGTAGCCCCAACCAAACTTTTCAAAACTACTATAAAAAATTTATAAGGGACTCTTTATTTTTAAACAGTATATTTTACAATTTAGAGAATACACGAACTTAAAGAGTAAAAAAATTTAAGTCCTACAACAAATTCTTTATATTTAGCACTTAATTTTACTAATCTCAAAAAATATTTATTTTTTTTTCCCTATCTTTATTTTTACTAGCTTTCTTTATTTTTCTTTATTGAAAATTGAAATACATTGAAGAGCAAGCTCAAAAAAGTTATGTTGCAAGATATTCTTCAAATTAATATTAAAATATTAATTTAAAGAGTTTATTGAAGTATAATTTTAAAGTTTGACTTTTTAAAATAGAAAATATATTATGTTTAAAGAATCTTTTGAAAATATTCTTATATTCCTTGTATTGACATTTCTACAATCAATATCCATTTCATGTTTTTAATATTTAATGGGCTATCACCACTAAGCCCCATTTGGTCCCACTTATCCCAAAAACTTATTATTCTCTTTTATTTTTAATCAAACAATCTTTTATAAAATAATATTATATGTAAATCGAAAATTTTTCTTTCTTTTTTCATAACACATTCTCCAAAAAAATTGTTGTAAAAATTATAATTTCAAATAATGGAGGTCAATGGGGGCTAAGATCATATCAATAATTATAATTATAATCAAATTAAATCTCCCTCTATTCCCCACCTCTTTGCCTGGTTCCATTACTAGTCAGTCATATAATCTAGTCGCAGGGGCATTGTTGTCTATTTAGTTGACTAATATACCTCCCCTACTAGAGGACAAAATAAATATAATTGTCAAATCAAAACTCAGACCTCGATAAAATCGAAAGTCCTAAAATAGGAAGTTCACTATATGAAATGCAATACCACCCACGCGTCATATATCTATATGGCTGTCGGCTCTTTTCAGTAAATTAGAAAACATCTAGCCAATAGGCTTCATCCACGATTCAATCCACACCAAAACCAGAAAATAGCTGTGTTGAACAAGCGGTTTTGCAGTTCTCACCTCCCACTTGTAATAATACTTTCCTTATATAGTAGTACTCTGAAACTGCGATTGCGAAGACTGCTTTTGTACTACACGCAGAGTAAGTATATTCTTTTTCTTTTTCTTTTTTCATTTATTTTCTTGGTAAATCACCTTACTGTCTGCTTCCAAGAGTTGCGTATATAGATATGAATTATTTGGGGTTTCCTTTATTTTTTGTGGGATTTACATGGAATAAATTATTGTACATGTAGAGAGAGAAATTAAAGAATAATAATGGGGAGAGGAAAGATAGTGATAAGGAGGATCGATGACTCGACGAGCCGGCAAGTGACATTTTCGAAGAGGAGAAATGGGCTCTTGAAGAAGGCTAAGGAACTTGCGATCTTGTGCGATGCTGAGGTCGGAGTCGTCATCTTCTCCAGCACTGCCAAGCTCTACGAATTTGGCAGCACCAGGTCCTAAATTATTCTTTTATTTACCATCTTCTCTATGATCACAAACTTACAAGTTCTTATAATTTCGAGAGAGACTGCGATTTTGTAGCTTGCTTTCTCCAAGATCTGCGTGTGGTGCAATAAATAGCTAATTTTATGTATTCTAATTATGAGAATTATTGGCTAAATAATTTAAAAATGTTGTAGGTTTTTCTTTTGCATAACTGTATGGCTAAGTCTGTGCACAATATTTGGTTTTTATTTGTGAATTATGGGTGCCAAAGGTTTACTGCTACCAATTACACTCCAGAAGTTAGAGATACTGATGTTTTACAAACAGAAAATGCACTGGATATGAAAGATTGTGGCTTGTTTGGTAGGCGGATTAGACATTATTAGTAATGAAAAAATTGAGTTAAAAACTTGTATTGTTTAATCTTGTCTACTAGCACGTTGTTTTGCCATTGCCGTGTATTATTCTGCCCAATTCTGCTATGCTGCAAGGGAGTTTCCCTGACAGCACATTCACATCCAATGTGTCAAAAATATATATATATATTGGCAAAATAGCCTAATTCTTATTCTCCCTAGTCCACTAGCCTTTTCTTATTAATTCCATTTAAAGAATGTAGGGTCCACTCCTTCAATCAAAATGTACCTCCCTCCTAAGCTAGCTTGGAAAGGTTCCACAATAATTGAATTCTTGTCCACTTTACTCATTCTATTGATGTGGAAGAGAACACCAATGACTCTCTTTCTCTATACATTGCTCATTTGGTAGCAAAACATTTTACTGAGCATCTTCGCTTGAGCTATCATTACACGTCCAGTTGTCAAGCCAATCGTGATATGTATATGATCCTCATCACTTGACTCTCGTAGGGATGGTTCATTCATTTATTCCAATGAACAAAATGGAACTGCTATAATATAATAGTTACTACAAAAATGTCTTGGCCGAACTATCTGTCTTTTATGCCCTTACCCCCACGAATGAAAGAAAAAAACTTCCCTTTCTTTCTCTCCTTTAAGGGCCTCGGTTGGATGGAGCTTTAGAAAGCTAGTAACAATACTTTTCTATATGCTCTTAAGAGAGTTTTCATAGAGCAACCTCATAATTTTTTGCTTCTACTTATCGAGGTTATTGTAAGCTATGGCCTCAAGCAAGCACCTTTATCTTGTGATACCGCTTTACTCATTTATAAATATGTTAATGTCACTATGTACTTGTTTGTTTGTATCGATTGTCAACCATTCTTATAGGTAATAATAAGAATTTCAAACATTGTTTCTTATAAGATCTATCGATTAAATTTTCAACTGTAGTGCTGAAACGCTATTATCCATAGTGGAATGTCTTCTCCTCAATTGCGTGAATATCTATGATCTTCTTGCAAAAGCGAACGTGCTTAACACAAGATGTAACGAACATCTATGTCCAGCCGTAGTATCTAAAGCTTTATGGTAGCTCACCTCCTTCGAATGCCATCTTTTACTGCCCAAGTAGTTGATGAACTACAATATTTTGCCCTGGACCTGTCCAAATATATCCTAAGTTACGAATATATAGGATTGCACGAGTTCATGCTTATTCCCATCAAATTCCATTAGACTGCTATTAAATGCTCACTTCACTATCTAAAACAAGATCCTAGATCTGTTCTCCACTTTACATTATTAACACCTTGGCACATCTCTCAACTCCTAAAACACACTATTCACCACAATTTATTTCTCAAAACCGCATAATGGACTTCATTTGCCTACTTTCTCATACGCTGATTGGGCTAGCAACAGAGATGATTGCACCTCTTGGTGTGCAACGAAGTAAACATCACATGCAATTGACATTTAGAGAAGCAAATGTCGGTTGTTGCACATAACCTCAATATAGAGCTCTTGTTTCTTATGAAGCCGAGGTTCTTTGGCTTCACTCACAATCTTTTTGTTGAACAGGATGTGCTCCTCACTCACAAGCCAAATTATTTACGATGAGAACATCAATGTCACTTATATTTATTGGTCCATCCATTAGTTGTTTCATTCCAAAATGTAGCATATCTCAATTAACTACTATTTTGTCTCATATCATGTTGCCTATGGTTCCTTTATTGTTCATATAATCAGTCCAAAATATTACTCATCTTATCCTCTTAGAAAGCCTCCCTCCTCTAAGAGCATTTCCAAGAAACTCTTTAAACATAACATCCTTTCTAATTTAAAGAGTCAAACTTTAAAATTATGTTTCAAGAGACTCTTCAAATTCACATTTTATAATAAAGATACAGAGCCAAATCCACTATCTATAATTAAATGCATTCGGAGCATTTCATTTTTCAATAGAAGAAAATAATATAATAATTTGAAGGGAAGCTAGTGAAAATAAAAGATAGATAAAAATAAAAAATATTTTTCGGGAATAGTAAAATTAAGTGTTAAAGATAAAGAGTCCGTTAAATTACTTAAAAATTTTACTCTCTAAATTTATGTATGTCCTCTAAATTGTTAAATATGGTATTTAAAAATAGAGAGTCTTTTAAAGATACTTTAAGTTGTTACTTTCATGGTTATCTTCAATACAAGTACCATCTTCTGAGGCATGATAGAGAGTCAATTTCGTTTCTCGAATCTAAGGGATTCGATTCACATTTAAAAATATTTTCTATTATGTAAGATAAGAGAGCATAATTGTATATAATTACTTCACCCAATGTAAAAGACTTCTTTCATTCTCTTTTTTCTCTCCCTTTTTCGACCCTCTTTCTATCCTGAGATGGGCCCTCTATAATAATTTGGGGACATAGATTTGTTTAAGATGGCTGCTATATTTTGTCTGTTGGCGGCTGCTTCGAATCATAGACATAATATATATAAAAAAGGCGGCGGATTCATGCAAGTTGGTTACAAGAATCTGCACCATGCATGCAGATAAGGGTATCGGATTTTGCAATCTTACACTTACATGTTGGTTAAGAAATATATACATATGAATGTGTGTTCATAATAATATAATCAAACCAACCTAGATGTATAGAGTTTACTTCCTCTCTGAGAGTAAAATCCTCTTTTTTTCGTTTTTTGCTTTGGGAAAAGGATATCTTGAATAATTTTACTTGTACGTAATTAAGTTACACAATAATTTATATATAGTTGAAGTGTCAAGAAAAGTGTGAGTCTTTTCTCTTAATTTGATTGAAGAATTTAGATCCAATCATTTCTTCTTAACATCATGTATATGTAAATCATTATGTATGTATAGCACAATAGAATGATCTCTGATGCCAAGATCTTCTAGGAGACTTCTAGAATTTCAATGATGATGTGCAACTCAATGATTGTGATAGATTCCTGTACACATAGATGTAGTGATCCTCTTCTTCCTATCTGACATATAGACTCCTTCAACCAGGGAATAAGTGAACGATCTGAGTAGTACTCTTGAGTGCGCACGTCCTTTCTTTCTCACCCAGCCAGATTATCTGCAGTGTAAACACAAAAATGTGAACTCGTGTTTAGCAAAAATGGAGTACACCACAGAACCATAAAACAGAAATAGATACAGAACTAACTTCATATTTTTTTTGTGTAAACAATAATGCCCATCTAACTAGCATATGTGGGTCATGTCCATAACACTTATTATGAAACACATCAAATTACATTATAATGGTAAAATAACACGTCAAACAAACTTAGCACTTGTTTGGTGGAAATTAAAATTAGATTTGACAGATTTATGATAATTTATATAAAATAGAAAAGAGAATTTATATGACCCATTCACAGGATTTCTAGTGGTATAAGAAATTTGACAGATTTATGATAAGGTAAAAGTACAGAAAAAGAAAATTTCATAATTTGTATACTTTCTTAAGCTACAAAATGGATTCATATTTATTAATCTTATATGTGGATGATATGTAGATAGACTCAAAGAGAAATAATAATAATAATAATAATAATAATAAAGACTCAAGTTGAATCAAGAGTTTGAAATGAAAGATCTAAGTAGAGGCAACAAGATTATCGGCGTAGAGATTCATATAGACAAAAAGAAAGCAAAGTTTGTTAGATTCATAAGTAATTTTTGAAATTACTTCAATGCTTGGCATGAGTGAACATCTCTCAAGCTACTGATTGTTCTTCATTTCAAGCTTTGTCAATCAATGTCAATGTCTTCTTATATGGATGTGGAACATGAGTACATATTGCGAGTTTGTATTCAAATGCAATATGCAACTTAATGCATGCAATGGTGCATACACGAAATGATATTTTACAAAAAAAAAAGTTATAAATTAACAAATCACTATATTGCAAGTATGTGTACACACCCCCAGAGTAGAGGGATGGTTTCAGGTAAGCATGCACAAGTATTTAGAAAAATGTACAAGGCTGGTGGCATAGATTTTATCTTGCTGATTGCTCCTCATTTCAAGCTTTGTCAATTAATGTCTCCTTATATGGATGGGGAACAAGGGTACATATTGTGAGTTTGTATTCAAATGCAATATGCAGCTTTATGTAATGGTGTATACACGAAATGATATTTTTATTTTACAAAAGAGGTATAAATTCACAAATCACTATCTTGCAAGTGTGTGTACACCACCGAAGTAGAGGGATGGTTCCAAGAAAGCATGCTCAAGTATTTAGAAAAATGTACTAGTAAGGCTGATGATATAGATTTTATCTTATGGGGATTAAGCTGTAACAACAAAAGGCAACCAAGTTTTATGAAGTCCACTTGGAGCGAGACTATAGCAAAGGTGAGGTAATGAGACAATCATTGGACAGTTGTAAAATGGATTCTATGTTACATTACACTTGGCGAACAGTTATGCTAATTGTGATTAATCTGGTTATTTAATAAAGAATAATGATACTTGTACATAAACAGTTACATAATAGTTTGCATACAAATGAGGTGTCAAAAGATAGTGGAGAAGTGTTTTTTTTATTTGGTTGAAGAAATTTTGACCTAGACATATCTTACCTAATCATGTGTATGTAAATCATAA